CTAAGACTAGAGCCTTCGAATGGGAAGCTGAACTCTTCTGGAAAATTCAGGTAAAGCATTAATACATGAAGGATGGTGTTTCATGAATAAACAAACTCAATTACCTTTCTCCTAAGGATGAGAGGAGCATCATCGTCGTCATCATCCTGCAAAATGGGAGATGTTGAAGCTGGCCGTTTGCGGCTGGAGGTGCGGCTATAGTAGTCTTAGCAGCAGGAGAAGCAGATGGAAGAATAGAACATTTAGCGCGAGCAGGTGAGGAATGATTCCTGATGGACATAGGGACATCCAGAATAGGAGAAATAGAAGACGTGTCTGGTTTATCTAGCAAATGGAAAGCACGGTTGGCATCAGTTGCGAACAACCTGCACTTCACAGACGGCCAGAGTTGGTAAAAAAGGGGATACGTGACAGCGGTAAAATTGAAAGGGCTAAAGAGAAACCTTCTGCCAAAAGGTTATTATGGGTGTCAATGGCTTGCGCCTCGATTTATTGATAGTATGGCAACGCTCTGTCAAATTCTTAGAATAACAAGGAAGAACAGGCCACATTTGGCCAAAACCAAGTTGACAAGCAAAAAATTAGGGAGCATATATCTCAACCCATGCCTTAGCATTTGTTCCTGTGACAATGTCATGGAACAGTTCTCTCCCAACCAAAAATTAAACTCACATGAGTAAAGAAGTGCTCACTTCAGTTAAAATAGAAGGAGGCCGTAAGTATAAAGGGATTTGATGAGGAGAAAAAGGAAAGAAAGAAGATGTTGAATTCAAAGTATAAAAGAATGTGAAAGCGTCCCTGCTGGACATGTTTACGGGGCTCAATTGATGAATGAATAGCCCATAATAGTTAACTGTTCGAGTATGAGACGGTGGAGCACCAAGTTGTGGAAAATAGGCTCTTAACCACAATTGAGCAAGCCAAAGGTGCCCACTACCAGTGGAAGACGCACCATTCTTTAATTGGAGTTAGAGGGAAGTTACACCTCTATAAAAGGCGGCTAAATAGAATGAACACAAATTCCAAGATCTACCACGTGCTAATTCATGCGATAGAGGTAGATAATTCAACGAGGATTTCAGGTTGGGGATACAAAGAACATATTTATAGAGCCAGACCTGAAGGAAGGCAACACGCTCAGCATGAGTAGGCTCAGAATTGGAAGCAGTATAAAGGTCTTGCATGCTTAAATAAGATTCGACAATTTTCTTGTAAAATTGTGGAGCAATACTGGAAATCAAAATACCAAGAAAGCTAGTATCGCTCGAGGGCGGAAGATTCACTAGAGCTCCAATATCCCTTAGAATAATGGACATTGGGTCAAGAGGAAAAATAAAAGTGTTATACTCAGAAGACCAGAAACTCAGGACAATTGAGAAAAGCACCGGGTCATAAGTCGGGGAAAAATGGTAATTTCTAATAGNAAAGTGTTATACTCAGAAGACCAGAAACTCAGGACAATTGAGAAAAGCACCGGGTCATAAGTCGGGGAAAAACGGTAATTTCTAATAGGTCCAAAATCTTGGCACGATCAAAAATTTCTTTGGTGGGACCATGATTTACTATACTTGCATGCCATCTACGAAAACTAGGATCTGTTTTTGGCCAAGTACGGATACCTTTATCGCGGATTGGTTTCAATGGCAGGGAATTCAGAAATGGAGGGTCTTCAGTGCAAGGGAACAGTTGGCCCACCGCCACTTGTTCAATGGCTTCGGCATTATTGAATGATGGACCCAAATAGAATTCATTGAGGTCAGCATTGACTTGTACAAGGAAGTTTGGATTTACATACAGTCTGGTAAGGATTTTCCGAAAATCTTCGAAACTGAAAGCATCATCAGAATGAATTTGTGAAGTCTCCATTGAGTGCAAAGTACAGTCTTGTTAAGACTTGTCTAAGAAACGTAGCAGAGAAGCAAGAAGATGAACAGTAAAATAGTGAGGAAGAAGAGAGAAATATAGATACGTGGTTTAGTGGTGCGATGAAATGACGTGTCTTTTGGGTTTATAAGGGTTTGTAACGTTGCACCTTTTTTAG